TCAAACGAACACTGACAGCCAGCTAAGGCTAGGCTTAGGGGGGACTGCAGCCTGGGCTGCCACAGGTGCAAGAGTATGTGTGTTCAGACCACGTCCATGAAAGCAAAGTTATTGTAAAGATGGTCAGTGTCTGGTCATTGAAAAAAAAAATTCCGAAGATAAGACTGACTTTGACATCTCATTCTAAATCACAGGGTTTTAACTTAGTCCTCTATCATTTGGATGTTATTTCTTTATTGGATCGGCCCCATAAAGTGGCCACTTTGAAATGTTCTTACCCGAGGGATTGTCGGTCTGGTTTAAATTAAACTGATGGGGAATAAAATTAAGCAGTGCAGGCAAAGAAAAATGTGGACCTCGTGAACATAGGCTTTAAATGTCGAAGAAGAGAATAAAAAGGAAAATAGTAAAGATTACTGGCACGAGGCATGGGTGGAGGTGCGTGTGTGCAGACAGGCAGGCTGGCCCTGGAAAAATTCCCCGTCACCTTCGCTTTATTTGGGGGGAAACAAGGACATGGTGCACTGCAGCCTCGGAGCATCAGCTGTCTTCCTGGCTGCTCTGCACGTTGTGGGTCCGTTTTCTTTCACTTTAGCAGAGGGGGTGGTTCTGGGCACAGGCGCCTCCACGGTGCCTGCTGGTTAACCCTGCAGCCAGCACCGGTGGGCTTACCCAGTACTGGGGTTTGCAGCCTGACAGAGACTCAGCCAACGGAGACAACAGAGACACGCAACTCTTAACTCTAGGAGGGTTGCCTAAATATGGCATCAAGTTTAATTTAAACAAGGCAGGACTCCGTGACCTCAGCAGAACTGGCTGTAACGGAACAGAACTGTCTGTGCGATTCTCCGCTGGCTCTCCCGGCCCTGGGCTGCTCTGCCGGGCAGGCTGCCGCACCGGGGTTTTGCATCTCGGCCAGTCCTCCTGGTCCCTGAGCCGCGGAAGACCGTCCCAGGCAGATGGTTCGGTCATGGATGAGTAATGTCGGTCTTAAAATGTTGAGACTCTGAGAATCGGAAAAATGACTGTTCTGTGACAACTCCGTGCTTCCCAAACCCCGCCTGATATCACTGCTCTGACTGAACTGGTGATATGAAAAACACTTCCCTGCAAAGGAATTCTGCACTTAACCTTGGGACCTTTCATGCTCATTGTTGTACCTCCAGAAGTTTGCAGAATGGTGGCCTCAACTGTGAAATACAGAGAGGCCTCAAGCTGAGAGGGAATTGTCAGTATCTCTAAATAGTCTTTGTCCTCAAAAATTTGAATCTAGTTGATATCTGTGGCAAAAAGAGAGTTCTTTAAATATTTTGTCCAGTTAGAGTCAAACTGGAGGCTGTTCTGGCCAATGAAAAAGAACATTTTAAACTTCAGTAAGGACACAGAAAATAGTGTTTTGAGTACATACAGTATGAAAACATAAAGTTATTTTGGTGTGCTTTCAGAAAGATGAAAAGCAAATGTCAGCCCAGACCGTGTGGGTCAGTGGTTGAGCATTAACCTATGAACCAGGAGGGTTTATGCCTGCGTTTCAGCTCGATCCCTAGTAGGGGATGTGTAACGGGTAGCTAGCTGATCGATGATTCTCTCTCATCATTGGTCATGTTTCTATCTCTCTCTCCCTCTCTAAAATCAATATATATATATATATTTTTTAAAGCAAATGTCATCTTCCTCTACAAAGAAGAAATTAATGGAGACTGAGCAAATGTTTGACTGAAATCATACAGTAAGTGACCTCTGCCTCTGAAAAAGGAATAGGAACTTGAATTTAGACATAATTACAGATTGATACAATAGCATTATGTGATGTTTGCTTTTTTCTGAGAAAGAAAGCAGTGGCTCTTGTGCCATCTAAAAGAGCTGTCCGTCCCATGTTAAGTAATTTTCATCCAAGCCAGTTGGGACCAGTAAAGTATTCTAACCTTCTTGTCCTGATACCTAAGTGAATTATTCCATTGGAAATGATAAGTGTATGAGGAGAAACGCTATTAGAGAATGGGTTCAGAAAGAACTGCTTGGGGTGCCTTCTGCCTTGAGGACCTCCGCCCTTAGGACAGACATGCGAAGTTGGTATTACAGAAAGGGCTCCCTCAGCCCAGTTGTTATTGTTCTTTGAAACATCCTAGCATCCTATTCTTTTTATGAGGTTCCATTTTCTTTTCTTGTTTTCTTTCCCTTCGGTTAATCCTCACTCAAGCAATTTTTCCATTGCTTTTTATAGAGTGGAAGGGAGAAATGGGGGGGGGGGAGAGAAACATCAATGTGAGAGAGATACCTTCCCTACCATATGAGCTCTGACTGGGGCTGGAGATCAAACCTGCAAAACAGGAATGTCTCCTTGACCAGGAATCAAACCTGTGACCCTTTGCTGCACGGGCCGATGGTCTATCCACTGAGCCACAGCAGCCAGGGCCCATTTCCCATTTTCAAATGATCAAAGTAATTTTTTGCTTATCCCTAACATTTACAATATCCCAGCATCTGGAGGAAGAATAAAAAAAATATAATCACACATCCAGATGTTTGTCCTGCACCAAACACCTGGCATGATGTGGTCCAAATGTGCCAGGGGTTGACTCGCTTTTTCATTCTTTCACCTTGTGGAATTGTGTGATAATTCTGCCAGGCTCTGCCCCCTCCTCCCGAATACTACTAGTTAATACCTTGTGCATCTGAGTAAGTAACAGGGAGGCTAGTATCCCTCTCACCGAGTCTCAAAGAGGTGCTGGCACCCTGCTGGGAGTACAGCTATTGTTTTGGCGCTCAGCCCAGTCATTTCTCAGGGCATCATGGTATCACAATATTTGTGGTGGTGGTCTTCCCAGTATCTGCAATATCATGGCCTACATTTCAGAATTCTATTTACAAAAAAGAGGATATTTTTCTATTTATTTGTTATCGAATTCTGTGTACCTTGGGATTAAAGGTCACTTCCTGGGTTCTTTTGTTAAAACTCTCTTGGACAACTTTTAATAGCAAAAGATATGACAATACCAAAAGTTTCCTTACTTTTTCTCTTACAAAATATGATTTTAAAGAGGGAAGGGCTATTGGTAAAACACCCATAGCATTGTGTGCCATCTAGTGAGATCTTTCAGCCCCAAACCTTCCCAGCTAAATTGCTGTAAGTCCTATGAATTGTGCCACTACCCCCACCCTCAGGTCAGTGTGTACTTGAATTGTTTTTCCATCTGCTTCTCTGTGGCTCATGGTGGATGTTTGTCCCAATACTGCCTAGAATTTAGTGGTGCTGGCCTGAATATTTTTTCTCTGTATGAAACTAACAGGCCCAAGTGAGGAAGAAACACATACATGTGTTTAATTTGCATTATGCCATAACTGACAGAGACGATCAGCCCAAAATTTAGGTAAGCATGGAAGAGCCTATCTCTTCATCCATTGCTTTCATTATATTTTCCTTATTTCCCCTGAGTTCTGGGGGTATATGTCAGAATATCTTTCTAATAAGTTTATTTTCTATTATTTCAAAAAACTCACAGATGACTCTAGGAACAAGTAAATTATTCTCACAGAGAAAAAGATGCAGCAGATGTGAAATAACATAGCAAGGTAACCCTTTATCCTAGCAGGTGTTAGATCTAGGTAACCTATTTCATGGAAATAGTGGAGAACACCACTCATCTCAAAAGCAGGCATTGATGGTGGACCCAGGGTTGAACTACCCCTTGGAAGCTAGAACTGTGTTCCTTCCTTGCTGCTTGGCTCACACACCCCAGTCCCTCCTGAGACTAGATGGAGACAGGTGGCCTTTCCTGGTAGAAGGAAGCTGCCATCAAGCGGTTATAAGTATCTTTCACCTACTAGTGACACCATGAAAGCATGTATAATGGCTGGATTATTTTTCTTAGTTTTAGTTTAGTTCTCTACAAGGTGGGGCAAAAGTTGATTACATGAAACAATTTTTTCTTGTATTAATATTTATTAATTATTGTATTATTTTCCATTTGAAAATAATAAACTGTAAACCTACTTAGCCCCACTCATATGTTGCACACAGAAATAATGCTTTGGAGATGCATTTGAAAATTTTACCACACTATATTAATTTTTTTATCTGTATTGTTGAGAGTATTACAGATGTCCCCCATTTTTTCCCCTGCTGCCCCCTTCCACTTGGTTCCTGCCCCACCCTGGACCTTCACCACACTATTGTCTATGTCCATGGATTATGCAAATATGCATATAAGTTCTTTGGTCAATCACTCCCTACCTCTTCACCCCCCCTTCCCTCTGAGATCCATCAGGGAAAAATATGTTCAACACTTATTTTTTTTTTCTACCTATCATTGGATTTCTAGATATTTCCAAATATCTCATTGTTTGGCCATTAGAGATATAAACCGTGATGTATATGGCCATGTCCTACTCACCAGCATTTACCTGGAGGCATTCACAGAAATTGTTGACATGATATGCTGATATCTTCTCTTAGATTTTCTAGTGTTGGAAGTAGTGGTCAATAGGACAATGCCTCTAACTTCCTGATCTTCACATCCATAAACAAAATATAGACATATATGCGTTTCTTGAAATGTTCAATTTGTTTAAATAATAATCATTTTTCATGTAGGTATCATTCATCATCATGGCTGTTGTTTACCAGTCATTGAACATCTTTGTCACTTTTGTTGTGGCAAATATCATAGACATCTATATTATCACCAATCACAGTAGCAGCAGAATATCATCAATCACCAGCCTAATGCATGCTAGTTCATTTGCATAAAGCTTTGGACACCTCCAGTCCCTTATTTCATGAATTGGCAGGAAACTAGATTCCTTGTGGTTCTGTGACTCAGGGCTGCCCCACTTCCCCATACCTCATCTTACTGCTGC